CCATTTTAACCTCGCTTTAATGATTAAATGCTTGCATGTAAAGAGCATTTTTGACAGCTGGCTGGCAACAGCGCTGATCTGTTGGATTAACCATCTTGGTTGGGGCTGAGGAGCGAAAATTTGAGGAAATAGTACTCTCTAGATGACCGGAAATGACACTTTTATATAGTAAAATTCATCATCATCACATCACCCTTATATTTAAAATGAAGCGCCAACAAAGAAGCACCATGTTCCATCAGCGATTTTCTGCAATCAAGGTCTAATTAAAAATACGTGATTTACCATAGTAAATTGACTTTGAAACATTATCTTTGGATGTATTTAGGTTACTTTACCTACTTCAAAGCGTGAGTCCAGATGCACCTCACCCACCATGGTTGGGGCTGAGGTGCGAAAATTTGGGGAAACAGTAAGTCTAGATGGCCGGAAATGGTACTCTTACAGTATATAGTAAAATTTATCATCATCACCATTACAGTTCAAATAAAGCGCCAACAAATTTCCAACGATTTTTATCTAAAATTTTCGGCAGTCATAGAGATTTAAATAATCTGTGTGATGTACCATAGAAAATGAAACTTTAAAACATTGTCTTTTATGTACTTTACCCACACCCATCTCAGCCCACCATGGATGGGGCTGAGGCGCGAAAATTTGGGTAAATTGTACCTCTAGAGGTCGGAAATACACTCTTTCATAGAAAAATTCATCATCATCATCATCATCATCATCATCATCATCATCATCATCATCATCACATCACTGTCAAAATGAAGCGCCAACAAATTTCTTATGATCTTTCAGTGTGATGTACCATTGAAAATAGAACTTTAAAACATTGTCCTTGATGTCTGTACTTTACTTTATTGTACATAAATCCTTATCTACTTACTTTAATAATATTACATTAATAGGAGTAAACCGGTAAGCTACAATAAAGATGCAAAATAGGTTGTTTTAACTGTCATCTAATACTATAATTTATAAAAACAACATTAATAATAATAATAATAATAAATAAAATTAATAGGATTAAATAAGCCAACAATTAAGATGCTAAGTAAATTGAGTTAACTGTCATCCGAAACTATAATTCATAAGAACAACATTAATGATAATAATACTAATAATAATAATTATAATAATAATTATAATAATAATGATAATATAACATTAATAAGATTAAAAACCTTAAGCCTACAATTAGGATGTTATAATAAATTATTTTAACAGTCATCTGATAATTAACTTTACTAACCACTTTTTGTTTCTATAAAATTATTGTTTATTAGTAAAAAGGAACAAATAATTAATAAAATAAAGGAAAAAGCAAGATTGATTTAAATTCATCTACTCCCTTGGGCAGAGTTCAACAATTTTATTAGGGATTTTCGGCAACCTTAGAGATCTAATTAATCCTTGTGATGCACTACAGATTATAAAACTTAATTGTCTTTGATGTGATTTACTTTATTTTACCTACTTCATATGCCGAAAACCAATCTTATCTTTACAAGATTTTTTTCCCTCATAGTTCTAAAATTATAATAAAGGCACGCACATTCAAATCGTGTATAGGTATATTTTTATATTTGTGGGCAGAGATGCCTTTATCTTGCTATAAGAAGATGTATTCTGGCTGTACAGGGCTATTTCTTAAAACCAGGGTCATTTATGCAGTTGATTTCAACCATTTTTAGGCATCTTTTTGACTTATGAAAGCACATTGCCGCCGAAAAGTGGTGGGGGAAACCAACCCCTCCTCTTAAATTATGTGGGGCCGGGGGAACGTGTCTGTGCCCATGCTGGCGGGAGGTGCACTCATTCTCCACCCTCCGATCTGCCAATGTTATTGGATTTGTACCTGGTTAAAGTATAAAGCGGAAACAGAAAGTACAGTGAGGTTGAAATTGCTAGCACGCAAAGTAATCCCTTGGGCTTGTGCCATTCATCATTCTATCTCCAATGCTGTGTATATTGGCTAGACAATTAAACAAACGGATCCTTGACTCATTTGTCATTCCTAATTAAATACTTCCGAAACTGACATAATTTAATGATTTTACCCTCATTACATCTCTGAGTAAAGTACGTACACTTTTCATACCAGCGGCAACGAGTAATTTTAGAATGCATACGACCATTGTACGCATATATTCAACTACTATCAGAAGAGGCGAACCATCATTCCCCAGGGCGCACGTTTAATGGAGGGTTTAAATGGGGGTGGGGCCAATTTGAAAAATGTAGTGTAGATGTAGATCACTCTCCTTAGCTTAATTTATTTTTTAAAAATTCTTAACTGAATCCACCATTAACCTCACATTTTCCCGCTTTAAAAAAAAAATCTTCTGTCGTTTTTCTGACAACCCTCTGGTGGATCGGTCTAGTGGGTGAAACCAATGTTCTTAACGCACGGTATTGAAAGACAATTCCAAAATAAACTAATGGCCTGTGTGATATATTTTTTTCTTCTTTTTTTCTTTCTAAGAAGTACAGACCCGAACCTACGATTATAGTAGTTTCATGATTGTAAAACAAAAGACCACAAGTTATTTCAGGCCGACGGAGTTATGAGGGTGGTGGGAAATTTGAGCAGATGTATTAATTGAACTGGGAGCCGCCTATGGCTTACGGTGTGGACGTGTAGGGCAGAAGGCTAGGCAGTGGTCCAGGGGTGAATTTTCGGAAGCTCCGTTAATGTAGGGGTTTAACCGTTTAATATAATTTAGAGTCTCATAATTTGTAAAAATAATAGTCCTATGTACTGGAGAGCAGCATACTTTGTCGGCTGAAACTAATGGTTGCAATTGAGCGTTGAATCATGGAGATCATTAATTTTGTTAACCTTTGGTACCCGGTTCCATTCCACCCGCTGCTCTCTCTGTGTTTCGGCTTGAGGGTTGAAATGCAAGCATAAATATTAAGAGATGTTTAAACCGTTGGTCCCGTTTGCAAAATGGAACATGTTGAAGAATGCAGTCACTTTCCAAAAAATACAAGGGTATTGTTTCTCTGTTTACTGCTTACTCAGCACCTGAATGTCTTCGGACTTTACTTTGTATTCATACCAATTAGCAATTAATAGGGTAATATTAATGCCTCACTTTTAGCGAATAGATCAAAAGATAAAGGTATACGAAAGAATGTACTTCCGATTCAACTTTAATAAAGGTAAGGGTATTCAACTTCAATATCAGGTGATAGCTTATTACATTGGCCTAGTATCTAAAGTTTAATTCTACCTGTTGATTTTATAAAATAAAAAAAATTAAGCAACAAATATGTTTGGCTTTGAATTGGTTGTCGTTTGACGGCATGTCAAGTTACCATAAAAAGTTCCAGTTATCCAGGTATGTTTTATGTACCGTACTGTCTGTCTTTGTATAAAGCCTTACATTATAATTCCAGTTTTCGTGCTTTTTCGGCTCTTCATACCCCACCGATTTTTTAAGTAATGTAGTCCAATAAGTGAGTTTCAATTCAAATGACCTTTCATCTAAAGAAACAATCAACTTTGCCACTGAAACCATCTCGATTTTATCATATATAAGACAGCATTTGCTGATCCAGAAGCCACATCTTGACAGGTTGATTGCATACATCATAAAATCTTCATCTAATCTTCTCGTAACCGCTCTTTTTGTGTCCTCTTGTGTCGCACAGTATCGCCCTTCAATAGTACTGGCGGGCCACACGGAGATCTGTAGGCACATCTTTACTATTATTTTATTCGCAAAAATTTTTTTTTCTTCTTTTTTGTGCAGGTCTCTACCTCTTGGTAGGAGTCTTATGGCCGGTGTAGACATAAAATTACATGCTTTTTACTTTCAATTTCCTCTACGCTCTTATACAGAATTTATAATCTTGGTTTGGCGGAACCTCCTGGCAGGGTACAAAACGATGGATGTTAGGCAGGTCATGGTCACTTCTCAGCTTTAGGAAACGTTACCCAGAGTTTGTGTTAAAGTTGACTGGGGTGGAAATCGTTTTGCAGAGCATTAAGACTTAGATATATTTTGTCTGGCCGGCTGGACCGCTTTGAATGGAGGAGTCCTCAAAGGTCGTGGCTCGGGCCAGTGGCCTACTATTTCATGGTCCTTGTCCATGATCTCATGACAGGTGCCTTGCGGCATCGAATGGATGGCACGACAGTGTATTCCACTCGCTTTGAAAAATGGGGTTTTAACTATAAAAGATTGGTAAAAAGTGGGGAGGGGAATTGATATGATGCCCCCCCCCCCCCGGCCTACTTTGTGACGTGTCCCCACCGATCGAGGCCCATGCTTTGAAGGAGGGGCTGTTAATTGGACTCCAAAAGTTATAGAAGTGATAATTACAAGAAGATTAGTAAATCTTTTATCTCCGATAGGCTAAAGACGCAGAAATGAGCTAGCTCCTGGCCTAGGAATTAACTTCATATGAACTTTCTTGGCAAAACCAAGTTAAAGAAAATAGTGGCTAAATAAAGATATGAAAAACATTTTTCATTAAATTAAATCACCTAACCATAGATACCTCTTACCAATGATACCCCTGCGATTAGACGTGCAAAATTATTTCTTTCCATAACACACAGCTAACTAGTAGCATATCTCACTGTAACTAGTGTGTTTATTAAGAAATGTTTTAAATAGTGAGCCGCTCTGACATCCGATCTTGCTTATTAATTTTTTACTGAAAATTTGTAAATTATTAATTTTGTTTTGTTTTGTTGTCAATAGAAATTGTAATAGTAATTTTTCTATGTTAAAACGCTGTACTGAAATGAGTTGATGCTCTCTCTAGAGAGCAAGTCGAGTGGCTGTCTCTTATACACATCTAGATGTGTATAAGAGACAGGTCGAGTGGCCGAGCGGTAAGGCAGGGGCGTCGCTAGCTCCAGCCTTAACATCGGCGCTGATTCCAGTCACTCCTCGCTCATGTTCTTTTGGTAGAACCTAGACATCTCGGATAAGGACTTAAAATTGATGTCCAACTTGTGTGGATGAGTTGGTGGCGCCTTAAGCGCGCGAACTGTCATCCAACGCTGGATTGTGTTTTGCCTCGACTTGTCTCGTCAACAATCAGAGTTGTTTTGAACACTAAAATAAACTAGGCCGAAGAATCCCACAATGATTTAATACGTGCAGGAAAATAGTACGGTAAGTGTAAGTATAATTATATAACGACATGATGTTTAAATTTAAATCTTACATAAACCTAGGCTAGGCCTAGTAGTATTATTAGCATGCCTACTACTAGGGGCCCTAGCTCAGCGTGCGACAGAGACCTTAACCATGCTTAGGCCTGGGTTAATTGTCTGCCTCCATCGCTAGGCCTAGCTAGTGGTGTAGGAATATCCGTGGTGTAGTCCAGGAAACGATGGTCACCCTTGAGACGCATTCATACAAGTAAAATTTGTTGGGAAAACAGCTTTCTGTGGCTTGTATAATTTATTTGACAACAAAGTCAATCAAAGATATGCAGGCAGTTTTATGCATGTGAATGTCACACAAACATTTATTTATGGCCCTCTTTCCCTGGTCTCAATTATTTATACAACTAAAAGCTGTCTGTAGTTGCTGTACACCTATTTTTCTATCCATTTTGTGTGCGAATTTGAGTTGAGTTTAATTAAGTTCCCCACCCCCTCACTTTCTGTAACTAGACTATCATTATAAATTTACTTTAGCAGGAATAGATGAATGAATAATAAAAAGCAGACCTGTTTTCATCAACACTGATTATTTTCTAAAAAGTATTGAGTGGGTTGAAACAATGGAGCCAGGAATAACACATGAAATGATACCTGCGATGATGACACCTGGGAAGATGACACCTGGGATGATGACACCTGGGAAGATGACACCTGGGATGATGACACCTGGGAAGATTCCTGGCATGGCGACACCGGGCATTATGACACCTGGAATGATGGTTCCTTACATGGTGACACCAGGGATGTTGACACCTGGATCACCGACACCTGGACTTGCACCTGGTATCCAGCCTGATATTTCAATTGCTAATATTGATGATCCTGAAAGAACGGCAACAGGAGAGGAATCTACAAGGTAAGCAGTTGGCCAGGGTCAATCCAGTATTTCAAAAATTAAGGATTAAAGGTAGCAAGTTTTGAAAGGTAGTAAATTTGCTGTATATTTTTGTGCTTTCAGAATGAGTGGGCTCCTATGTGTCCACCCCTGGTTCTGCCAGTTAACCTGCTTTGAAATTCTACATGCATCTACTGTACATTGTTGTTTAAAACAAATCACCTCTCATGTTTAGTTGTCATACTATCAAGATATATTAATGACATGCCATATCATTATTATTATTACAGCAAGGAAGTGTTCGCTGTATACAAATCCCCACCAATCTTACCAGGAGCCAAACCACACCCGGGGGATATTGTGGAGGCAGCTTCTTTGGCAGTAAGTTTTTTAAATTTGTTTTTGTTACGAGAGAGATGAACATATATGGATCATTCACAATCATCAACATATTTTGCAAGATTAGAAACTGTACAATTTTTTGGTACCTCCTCCCTCCTGTCTAAAAATGTATAAAAAATGTTGATTTTGCAAAACTTCTACATTGTTTTTTGTGTAGTGACCTGAAGTACAGTACTATATTTGGGTTCATAAGAATTCTATTATACCCATGATTGTATTATAATTGGTCGTAAAGGTCTGTTTTATAAATATTGCAAGTTATTTTGAATTAAACATTTTTCTCTCATGGGAAAGAGTACAAAGTTGTCTACCCCTCACCCTAGCGTACTGTTTGTTCACTTGTGAAAACGTTGATAAATGTGAACGACCTCTTAGCCAGCCGCATATGTGATATGAAAATTTCTGATGATTCAAACATGCCCTGAATAAGATTTTTATTGTATAGATGACAAATATTTATTTTGTATGAAGGTTTACAGTATAAAAAACAGTAATAATTCTTTGAAAATATAATAATGTTGTTATTTTTTTAATTAAATGATTATTTAGCTTGTTTTATTGTCATTACAGGATTTGCCATCACCTTCTCCAACATATAATCTACAAGATTCTTTACCCAGTGAAATAATAACATCAGGAAAACTGAGTAATCTCCAGTTAGAGGGAATTCTATATGCTGTAAGTTTTTCTTGTTAATGGTTTGCTATACAGGTAATTTCTACAAAATGTGTGTAATACTAACTCCTTTGATTACAGACTAGAGGTTGAAACCATAGAGGTTTTCATTACAAACAAACATCATTTACTCTCCCCATACATTAAAAAACTGCTTTGGCCCCTCAGATCCTGTGTCAGGGGCATATTCATCGGGGAGCCACATGTCAGGTTGTTGACTTCACAAGTGAGGATCTCAAAAAAGGCCAAAAGATGGAGACCTAAAAGAGTTGTTTTCATCCATTTATTTATTACCTTATGAAAGAGCTGTTCGTGCTTGAAAATTGGTGCTTTTTTCCTTATTATATTGTTTTCAAACCTTTAATAATACATGTCGTCTTCTTATCACCTTTACAAACTTACTAGTTAATTTGTTTCAGCAATAGCTTGACATTCTCTAGCACAAACTTGTTTGTGGTTGTGATAGATTTAGTGTTCCAGAGTCGCAACGAGGAAACTTGTACCATGACCTCAAGAATGTTGATAATAATTTGTGCCTCCCGTCATAGAATAGACAATAGATCGATCCTCCATCTTTTGTGACGCTTCGTGAGACGGGTGTCTAGGGTAGGGGGAGCATAACTCCCGTCAGGAAGAAGTCAATAATTTTGTCGAGGAATACTGCCTTGAAAAAGCATTTTCCGTCTTTTCTGCCATTTCCAAGCATCTGGAGGTTCTGATTATTATTGAAATTTGCTAAGCTCATCCTAACCATGGTGAGGATGAGGTGTGGACTTACCATTGTTCCCCCAGCAGGCAGAAAATTTTTGGATTTGCATATGTGTGTACTAATTTCAAGATGTAATTTAACCTTTAATAGTACAAGTAGGTGTATGGTAATGGATTATTAATACTGTACTTAACTTCGGATTTAAATAATTAATGCCTGCAGATGGCTAATAATCACTTTAAATTGGTCGGTCTATATGATGTTTTTATAGTGGGTGTTTTATTCACTTAACGTAGACTAACGTCTTTACATTGTATTGTTGCTCTTAGTCTTCGTCTGTCTCCTTTTTCTTTTAACTTTCTGAATATGCTACATTTTGAAATTTCTTGTTCCTTCATCGGATGCATAAAATAACTGCCTGTCTGTGTATACTGCAATGTACTAATTTATAATAAGATGTTATATAATTGTTTACCAACCTTATATTTTAATACAGTGTCAGAAACACCAGACTATTCTACCATCGGGCTATAGAGCCGGTTTCTTTATTGGAGATGCTGCCGGTGTGGGTAAAGGCAGACAGGTATCATTTATATATATTATATATATATATTTTTTTTGTGGAAGCTATTTGGTGCAGTGGAAATGGTTTGGTTTCCCAACCTTGAGGTTGGGGTTTCAGTCCTTCGCTGTACATTTCGCTTTCAAAGTGGCTCTTGGGTTAAAACAATTATTTTCATTTGATATTTCTTCAAATAATCATTTTTTGTTATTGTCTGTTTTTTTCTAATTAAAAGGGTTTTTTTTTCATTGCAGATTGCTGGAATTATCTTGGACAATTATATTCGAGGTCGCACAAAGCACATCTGGTTTAGTATATCATCTGATTTGAAAGTTGATGCACAAAGGTTAGCGTAAACTTGTGCCTGTATGTACATACATATATACATGACAACAGATGAATGGGGTGTGTGAAAGCATCCATGTTAAAGTTGCATCTAATTTTAATTCTGATTCAAAAGTGAAAAATGGTACACAGTACACCACAGGTGGGCAAAATCACTTTGGCTAGAAAACATCTTGTTTTTTGCGGCCCAGCACCGATCATCTGTAAAAAGTAATACTAAAACGTACACAAATGCCACGTGTTGAACTACTGTATATCCTGAGACATACTACTTTTTTTTTTTTTTTATTGAAGTCACCCCAAAAAGGCCCAAAACCACTTCTATGTAAGGGGTTACTTAATTAAAGATTTATATGCCTTGAAATACTTGTATCTAGGGCTGAAACATAGCCTCAGCCACTACTACTAAAATCTATGGATATACATAAGTTATATGGTAATTTTACCTTGTTGATGCATGGACACAATGTCTTATGATTCACATCAATAAAAAAAATAAATCATAAGACTTGTATCTAAAGATGGCTGACAACCAATGACTGCCCAGTGAAAATAGGTAATTTTAAAAACAGACATTCTATTTGAGGTCTGCTAATATAGGTTAATATCAAGCTCCTAATTGTCACTTATAAAAATCTTCCTAATTTACTCTAAATCTGAAGTAACATATTTCAATAGCTTACTGTATAACCATATTATATAGTTGATGTAAACTGTTGAATTTTAACAGCCTCTGAATGTTTCTTTGAGCATCACTGACATTGAAATAATGGTTGTACTTTTTTATTGTTTTTAGGGATCTTAGTGATTTAGGGTGCTATCTGAAAGTTATCGAGGGATGTAAACAACTTGATAAAGAAACAAGGTAATCCTCATGTGTATGTCTTATTGTCCTTCACCATCAATATCATTATCATCATCATCGTTATGATCGCTTCTGTCTTTATTTTTCAGGGTATTTGGTTTGCCAGCGGATTTTAAGGAAGGTGTGATATTCAGCACCTATGCAACGTTAGTTTCTTCCGTCCAAAAAGGAGGTGAGCGCAATTGAAAATTACAACACTGAATGGTTTTGTAGTTTAGACAACTCGATCTTATAAAGCCATGTGCAGATTATCAAATATTATTTGACATAAACCAGTGATGTGCCTATATGTTTTCATGATGACATCACTTCATAACCATATAGGCATATTATGACTATATGTAGCAAAAGCAAGCTAAACCAGTCATTTCACAAAAATTTATTTTTAGTTATCATTACAGGGTTAAACATTAGAATGAGAGCTATAAAATGGTAAGAGAATCATTTAAATCTGACATTACGTTGGGAAGTTACAGGAGTTTAAACATACAGAAAGAACAATATTTGAGAAATCACTCTTCAAAGTTTGCAATTTTGTGCATTTCTCAGGCAGAAACCATCACCAAATCGATTAAAAATTGTTGTTTTAACATTTAAAATAGGGAAAATAACAACAGCATGATGTATAGGTATACACTATAAAGGTTAGTTTAATGCAATAAAATAGATTTAAACAATTTTGACATTCCAGCATGTTTTGGCCATTATCTCTGAAACATGATTTGCGACGAGTGACTGGTTAGGCTTGTGTTTGCCACATATGTGGACATACAACATCTTTTTGTCAAAAAGAATTGTATAATATGGACAGAGTGTAAGACATTTATATTATGCTGATTTTTCTTGGTTTTTTTCTTTCATAATGATTTATTAATTTGCATTTCTTAGGTGCAATAAGTAGTAGTAAACAGTCTCGTTTGGATCAGCTGATTAAGTGGTGTGGTAACGATTCATTTGATGGATGCTTGATATTTGACGAATGCCATAAAGCTAAGCATTTTGTCCCAGTGAGCATTTTTTCATTTATTTTCTTGTTAATTTATATATGAAGTTCTACCGAATGTCTAAAATATGATGCATAAAACAAACTCGGAAGCATGTGGTGTAAGCCATATGAGGCTCGCCATCCCAAAACCATTGTACTATCTCTAAATGTTAAACTGAGTACTTAGCATAATATTAAGATCTGAATCTAAATGTGGCAGTATTGTATACTTCAGTACAGTGAAGCCATAATATTTTACTCATAACTTTAGCAATAGTAAGTCAAATCCAGTAAATGACCTATCATTATAAAGCTTACGTAATGTGGAGAATACTGTATATTAATAAAAGTAAATTAATTAAAAGTAAATTAATTAAAAATTAAATTAATTATTAATAAAAGTAAATTAATTAAAAGTAAATTAATTAAAAGTAAATTAATTAAAAATTAAATTAATTATTAATAAAAGTAATAATTAAAAGTAAATTAATTAAAAATTAAATTAATTATTAATAAAAGTAAATTAATTAAAAATTAAATTAATTATTAATAAAAGTAAATTAATTAAAAAGTAAATTAATTATTAATAAAAGTAAATTTTCCTGTTTTGGTCATTGATGCTGGTTTTGGCATGACAAGCCCCATATTGATTATAAATTCCAAATTTTATCTATTCATATTTAAGAGTCTGAGGGAAGGCAAATCTAATTAGTTTGTTTTTTAGTTGGCCCCTTGGCCTAGCAGAAATATGCTAGATCATAATTACTTTTACCATGATGGGAAGGATGAGTATGATTCAGATGTGGTGGTGGTGATGATGATGATGATGACTAAATGTATAACTAAAGCACATTAAATCACATTCATTTATGATTGTTGAGCGTCAACCTATTGTAATGGAGTAAATCCAGTAGAAGTTGTTTTAGATGATAATATACAGAGATTTTATCAATTTCTTTAAAAAAAAATGTAAAGCCAGATAATTATCAGTTATTTTGTAACCATTTATTGGTTTGTTTTGTTCAGGGAAAAGAAAAGAATTCTACCAAAGTAGCATTAGCAGTAGCGTCTATACAAAGGTAGGTGGATTGTTCTATATACATATACTATGTACTTTAAATAGAAAACACATGCTAAAATCAGATGGATTTTGATAAGGCCCTGATGACAAGAGCAAAATGTTTGTGTTGCTTAAGTCCAGTCAACCAATCAACCCTAAATTATGAAAATAATATTTTGTTTATTTTTCCAATACCAAGATACTGTACTTTTGAAATTTATTATGTATGTTATACCTATTGATTTTAATTTAGTGGTTAGCATTTTACTTGTCAGAATGCAGGATCCCCAAATATGAAGGAGACAATTATTACTAATAATATGTTAGACTTATATAGCACTTAATGCCAACAAGGCCTCTAAGCGCTTCACACACTATTACCAAGTGCCTTGCCTAAGGACTGTCATCAGTTATTCTCCCACTCTTTTTCAATTTAAATCTCTTCTGCACCTTTTTCCATAGTTCATAATATTTAAGCGCCAAGATTCAGGTAAAGAGTGCTATATTCACAATTTCCTAGAAGAGATGAAATTGAGAATCCTTGACATATGTAAGCTTAATAGATTACTAAAATAGAATGTTTACTAACATTTATAATGTTAGTGAGAAAGTATATCAATAATCTAAAAGAATAATTTGAATTGTGTATATTCTTTTGCAGATTGCTACCTAAGGCACGTGTTGTGTACTGTAGTGCAACAGGTGTCAGTGATGTAAAGAACATGGTAGGTCAACCATCAAAAAAAAGAAATTATTGTCAATTTTAAATAATGCTATATTAAAAGAAGTAGTACTGAACGTTTCAGAGATTAACAAATGTTGTATTTTGGTTTTAACAGGCTTTCATGGAGCGACTTGGGCTGTGGGGTGATGGAGCTGCATTCAAGACCTTCGGACAGTTCATTGATGCTATAAATAGACGAGGCCTTGGTAAGTCAGAAAAATAGGTTTTTCGGCGCCCGGAGCAAAAAAAAAAGTAAATTCTTTCATATATTCGGAATTTGGAAGCTCGTATCAAATTTTTTTTGTAATTTTGGCACCTTTCCAGTTTGGCACCCCCACTTTTAGATTTTCGTATGGAAAAATTTAAAAATTGAATCATGAGTCTGTTTCGTAAATACTTAACTGGATAAACTTACTAATTGCCATTGTTCGCGAAACAGAACACCCCTTCGAAAGTTAATAGAACAGTCTGACCCAGGGCGCTACGTACAAACCATCTCCCTAACAATATTCCTCATTACCCATTCAACAGTGTTCGTATAAGGAGATCCCCTTTGTGAAAGAATTTAGTGGACAGTAGATCGCTATGCCTCGTGTGGGGGCCCAAACCGAGTGTTAAGCTGGATAGACACTTGGAGTGCCCTTTATGTCATTCATCTAGCAAGGCGGAATCTTGTGAGGGTTGTGCATACTGGCCCCCGACTAAGTTTGCGGCAGCTCTTGATTTGGCAGCTCAGTCTGGGAGTTTGTTTCCAGCTGTGTCGGGGGATCATATCATCAAAAGATTCTCCTCCGTGTCCGGTTGAGCGTCTGCCAGTCTCGAGACTCATAGACTACCAACATCACAATTGATTTGTGTAATTTATTTAAAAATTACAATATTCAATACCTGAGATGTATGAGAATGCTGACTGAAGCTTGGTAATTTGTATTGGAAGGTATTGCTGAGTTGCTGGCTATGGAAATGAAGAGTTCTGGAAGGTACCTCTCAAGAGGGCTGAGCTTTAAACAAGCTGAATTCTGTATGGTTGAAAGTGTTCTCAGCGAAGACCAAGTGAAGATGTACAACACAGCTGTTCATGTCTGGTGAGTACACTTGGGCCTAGGATTGCCAATAGCAATGCCCTAGAAAAATTACCTCTGTTGAGGCCAGTTTGGTTTTGGTGCTCTAAGAAGGCACTAATACATTAAGTGTTACTTTGCGATACACTGGCCTTTTTTTTTTATATCAATATGCTGTTAATAATCTTGGCAAAAGTGGCCTTCCCCTACCCCCTAAAAAGCCCAAATTGAGGCTTGGGTAATCCCTTTCATGAGATACAAGATACAATATAACATTTTTTGTCTCCAGTTAAAATAAACGAAGAAATTACAATGCTTGCTAAAAGAACAATTAAAAAAAAATCACTAAAATGATAAACATACAGACAAGATGCTCAACATAACCTAAAGTCATCATGAGGATTAGAGAGTGGAGGTTGTGAGAACAAATCATCTTGTAACATTTAGAGTAATCCCTGCGATTGGGAGGCAAGCATCTGAACTACTGTACCAAGCTATTCAACTCCACATTAAACAATCTTTATATTTATGACCCTTTAATTACTTGTAGCCTATTTCATGAATACTTAATTGGATGAATTGATATGCCAGTTCCCACTTAGAAACTTTTCTTGAAAATAACTCAGGCCTATATAATGCATCGATGTTATGTAACCGGACTTAATTTTAATTTGACTGTCAATTTTTCTATAATTAGTTGTAGAAATAAATAATAATAAAATTTGTCACAAATGAAAATGGCCAATGTTAATGGGAGTAATCTTATTATGTTTGCATCTAGTAGTCATTGGAAGTGTTCTTTGTGGAAGGACAAACATTAGAATGTAATGTGATGAATAGTGTAAAAGCCAATCCACAGTAAGTAAAGTATAATTTTACTCCTGAAGATAGATGTTGAAAATGATTTTGTTTGTGACTCAATTAGGAATGAACTGAGAAGATCGCTGCAATCTGCACTGGACAGAACCAACACTGGCAACCCCAAAATCTGGTCACTCTACTGGTCAGCGCATCAACGGTTCTTCAAGCAAATTTGGTGAGTAAAAGCAGCAAATAACAATACAGCAACAACATTTTATTTTATTTTATATTTCACTCATTCTATATTCTACATCTGGACGAGGACAACATTAGCTGGCTTGTAACCATGGACATACCATTGTAGCTCCTGAGATGGATTCACATGAACAATTCTATAGAACTGCTGATTATAAGTACATAACAGGAATAATACAAATATCAAAACAATATCAAATATCAATATTTCATTAAAAATATAGTTGATCTTTCACATGTTGACTGAGTTTCCTAAATTGAAATTCTTTAGCACTTTACATTGTTACCTGTTTATTGGTAACATAATTATCATACAACATGTGCAACCTCCTATGCAGCCTGTGGAGTATTCCTGGTTTTATTTTAAACTGAAAATTTTGAGATGTGTAATGTTTGCTTATGTTATTTCGAACAAGAATAAAGGAATAAGAAAGCAGGTAGGAAATGTGGACTAGTTTGAAGGGTAGGGGAAGAGCATGATTTACATGCATTTTACTAGCAAAAACAATCATGTCTTAATACAAAATTGGCTGGTGGTATTTGTTCAATTGTTAAGGTATATGCATTAGAATACAGTATTAAGTTTAATAACAATAATAATGATAATAATAATAATAATAATAATAATAATTGTTTATTTGTCCTCATTTGCAATTCGGAAATTTGGGCCAGGCCCCTGAGGAACTGTGGCAGCCGCAGTGTAACGCCAACGGACTTTACTACAGCATATAATGGACACTCGAGGAACCAAGCAATCCAACTCGATTTTAAAACCTGACGCTGGCCAGGTTTGGTCTGGTGTCTACAGCACAAAAAGCAGGAATAATGATACCTCTCATCCAGTTGCTCAACTAAGTTAATTCTTAGTCTGCAAGGAAAATATTTGTCACTATTTTCATTTGAAAAGCTATTTGCATTGATAAATACACAAATATTTAAGTATTAACTTTTTATAAAGGGTTTTAATGCTCATTAAATTTTATTGCATTAGTGATGGGTACTCGTATCGCAAATTCAAAATTAGTTTGATTTAGCAGAATGTTATAATCAGCTGTTTCATTGGCTAATCCTACAGCATGGGTGTCAAAGTACCTACAATCCTGAAAGAAGCCAACAAGGCATTGGATGACGGATGCTGCGTTGTCATTGGACTTCAAACAACTGGAGAGGTAATGAAACAAATTATTTGACCCAGTAACTTCTGAGTATACAGCAACTACATACCTGGGGAAGGCGGTTTGCCGCAGCGGTTTCCTTTCTGGTTATTGAACTCATGTCAGGAGTTCAAACCACACGATGATCATTCTGTCCGGCCGTGCTTTAGATACCCCAGCTTGTACAATTGATGGGATGTGAATTGGTTCAGGCTGTGTTACCAGCCCTAAGTGCAAGTATTTCATAGCATATAAATATAATAAATAAAAAAAAGTAACCCATTTAACTAGAAGTAGCTTTCAGACCTTGTTCGGTGTAAATTCAATATTTAAAAAAAAAACATTAAGCATAATACACAACTCAGTAGTAAATTATTAAAACAATTAGTGTTGAAAATTATTAAGTCTTAACAGTTACTTCTACAGTTTATTTCAGTGCAACCACCACTGTACGCTACAATATCTACCATGTTGTCTTTCAGTCAAATCACTCCATTTCACTCGTAAGTGCCCAACTCTCAAAAACTACCGGGGTCAGATTTGGGCCTGAGAAATGTAGAAATAACTGATTGCCATTGGGGTTTTTTTTCAATCAATTTAAAAAAAAATTCTTCATTCCAGGACATTGTTATTGTCTTATTAATTGTCTTTAATGTTCTACTTTTTTAAAAATACGATCTGAATGTTGTAATTATTTAAATTTTGTTATGTTTTGACATAACATAAAAGTGTATGAGAAAAATATTTTATAGTATTAAGTTTCAAAGTTTATATTCTATAATACTAGGAAAAATAAAAGGTTGTAGACGTCTTTGTAAAATGTGACATTCACATAGGTGAACGTCAGTTTTATTGCATTTTGACCAATAAATGCTAATGGTTTTATATTTGTCTTTTTGCAGGCAAGTTTAGAGAGTGAACTCCAAAGAAAAGATTCACAGCTTGTAGGATTTGTGTCAACAGCCAAAGAGATTTTTTTAAACTTTGTTCGTGAATATTTTCCAACAAAAATCAATTTATCGGTAAGTTTGATGGAAGTGAAGCATCGGATGAATCCATCTCTATTCTCTGTAAGTGGATATCAATATGGATAGATGTAAAGAATGTTGCACGCACGGTATCACTTTGCATTCTCTCAGTGTGTGTCGGCTTTACGTGTTTCCAGGCATTCTGTTGTTCATTACATACATATGATATATTACAATATGTTTTCACAAACAATTGCTAATCAAGGTTGGAGTTGAATAGCTTGATGGGTATAAAGATGCTTGCCTCCCAATCCCAGGGCCCTGGGTTCAAATCCTATCACATTCCAGGATTTTTTTTTTCGGGAAAAGACAACTCCACACCAATAAAAGCTTTGTTATCAGACTTAGTTTTTGTAGAGCATCACGTGTTTGTCATAATGTGAAGGGATTGCCACCAGCTATCTAATAGGACAGTGATTAAGTCGCAGTTAGCAGTCTGTGGCCGTGTGCCTAAGGAAATTTAAATATAAAGATTAGAGTGTTAATATTATAATTATTGTTGGAATGCTATTACTATTATTTCATTTTAGTATTATTATTATTGAACATTATAAGCCTATTATTAATAATAATTAGTTCCTTACTTTCTTATATGAATTCTGTGGCTAATTTTCCCAGACACCTCAGAAATGTGAAGTGAAGGTTGATGAGTGGAGCAAGACTGCTCAGGATCTGCTTCTCAGCTTTGCAGACAAGATAGGTTTGCCCACCAGGTTGGTATAAAATTCTTTTATTGTTTTTTAATTTTTAATCTGATGTACTGAATTAAACATGTACAAAGAATTGATATTTTTAGAATAAATAAAATGTGTGATATAAGCAGTAATAAAATGAATGTCCATTATAACACTTAATTGCATCAGAAATTAAACTTATATCATTCTCAATTTTTTTTTTTTTTTTTTTTTTTTTTTTCAATTTTTTTGTCTGTCTGTTGCAATAGCCAAACACAATAATTTAATAACTGTCATTCCCTGCACCGTTTAGTAACTTGCCAATCGACTAATGACTTAACAATTCACTTTTTTTCTGGTCATGCTTTCTTGCCTTGCTCAGTGGTTGAAAAGAAATAATTTAAGTGAGTGTAATGTTTATGCTGAGGCCTAAGCAAGTATACAAGCAAGTACAATTTATGAATACACAGTGTCTGTGTATTACTGTAATATTATGGACAATTTGTGTATAATCTATGAAATGTCAACATCTGAGTATAGTGTGTCATTTTTTAATTATTTCAGTTCCTTAGATGAGATCATTGACAAATTAGGAGGTCCTGGTAAAGTAGCGGAAATGACAGGAAGAAAAGGTCGCATGGTTAGCACAGCAGATGGAGTTAAATATGTGCCCAGGTCTGGAGATGGAAGTCAGCTTGATAGTCTCAATGTTCAGGAGGTCACAATTTTTTTTTAACTTAAAAATTAATTTGTTTAGATTGCCATCTCAGGAAGTATGAGATAATAATTATTTTCCCATTGCCTAATGTATGTTTAATAGTGACCCAATATCCTATTGTAATTAAATACCATAACATTAAATAATTCCTGCACAATATTTTCAAGGTATTTGTTAATTTTTTCAGCGGAATAGTTTCATGAACGGAAGAAAATTGGTAGCAATCATATCAGATGCTGCTAGTACAGGTGGGTATACATTTGCTAGCGCAAGTGGGTGTAAAGCCTTTGAATTTTAAGAGGAGGATTGCTCACATTAGATGTTGCTAGTACAAGTGGATGTATAAAACCGCCAAGTTTGAGGAATTTTCTAGCACTGCTGGGTGTAGGAAGTTCTAGTTTAAAAAGCAGTGTTGCATATATTGGAGGTTGCCTGTTATTACAAATGGATGTAGATCATTTTAGTTAATCAGGGAGATCCGGGGGTGGTCAACTGGGGGGGGGGGCTCCAACCCTTCCCCCACCTCCCATCTTCAGCTGACAGCAGCAAAAAGAGAAGACAATCAAACCAAGTATTAAATCATTTAGGATATAGCTAAATCTCAGAAGCACCAAGGGCATTGTCTCACTAAACCCCACTCTATGGACGGATGCGATAAAATCCCCTCCCCTAGCCATGGTATGCAATTGCCACTTTGTGCCAACCTGACAAAACTTCTGGGTCTGCTGCTAAGCAATGTTCATTTTGGAGGCTGCTGGCACAAGTGGTTGTTAAGTGGCTTCTCAGTTTATATAATGAGCAACTATACTTGTAATTGGTTTCTGTTCTTTTTCTGAATGGCATTTTGTATGATGAAATTATTTCTATTTTAATTACTCATTTATTGATTCAGTTAAATTATAATTTGTTTCTTAAAATTGCAGGAATATCCTTGCATGCTGACAAAAGGGTTTCAAATCAACGTCGGAGAGTTCATATCACAATGGAGCTGCCTTGGTCCGCAGACAAAGCAGTACAACAAATGGGGCGTTCACATAGAGCCAACCAGAGCAGGTAGATCTGCCAGCTACGAAAAATAGGGCAATTAAAAAAAAAATTTATGTGCTGGTGTTCCAGTCAGTCTAACATTTATTTTTCCTTAAATTCCTTCAAAATTTGTTACAAACTGAAGCTCTGTCCACACTATCAAATTTTCTTTGACATAAAAAACTGTTGTATGCCCATATATGGTCACGATGTGCCTATATATGGTCATGATGTGATGTCATCATGACCATATTTAGGCATATCACATATTAAAATGTTCATGAAAATCTTATTTTCCTGCATTTAAAATTGCGTCCATTCACTAAGTTAGTTGCTTCATTTCTGTAGTAAATTTGCGTGCACATAAGGTGTACATGATTTAGATAAAAAATGTGTGTGTTGCGCGTATAGAGTACTACAGTGTTACGTGACGATACCATGTGATACTGGCAACCGACGCCATTTTCTCCACTGACAAACCATAGATCCCAATTTCTAATGTAATTATAAAGAAGTTGTGTCTTAATTTTTTTTTTGTAAATGCTAATTAATGATTAAGTGTGTTTGATAACTAATATAATGTGAGTTTTTTGTGTTTTTAGTACATTTTGATAGTAAACTATTAGGTTTTAAATGCCTATACCAGAAAGCCATTCTAAACCATTAAGATTATGAAGTCATTCAGGCGTAATGAATGGTAACCAACGTCCAGAGGGCGCCACCTGGCATTGTGACGACACGACTATGTTACTTTATAAGACAACCCCCTGTTTTTCAAACGTAATTTGCTATTTAAAGCCTCGTCTTATAATTGAGAATATACAGTAGGTAAATTGCAGAAAGTGATAGAGCTCTAAATGTGACTACAAATATTGAAATTATGTTGCTAATTACATTTCAGTGGTCCTTTGTATAAACTGGTCACAACAAACCTTGGAGGTGAGAGGAGATTTGCAGCAGCTGTTGCAAAGCGGTTAGAGTCCCTTGGGGCACTCACAAAAGGTGATCGAAGGGCAGCGACTGGAGCTGACCTCAGCAAGTTTAACTTCGATACACAATACGGACGTGCTGGATTGCGAAATATGTACTTCGCAATCAGTAATGTATGTTCTAATAATCAGTTTATATTAATTAAATGAATTACTTGGATAATCTGATTTGAATATCATGCATTGCTCTGGATATTTTTTTTTATTCAGTGTCAGATATTCTGTTATTCATATTGTAAATTGTTAGAGAAATGCTTATGAACTTATGCTACAAATTGTTCCTTGTTGCCAGATCTATTCATAGAAATCAATTGTTAATTGGATGAATAATAATAAACTATGCTATTAAACAACTGATCATTCAAACAAACAACCAACTAACCAGTCAACCAAACAAAATCAATTAACCAGTCAACCAACTTACCAATACCAGTCAACCAACCAACTCATTAAACCAACCAACTCATTAAACCAACCAACTCACTAACCAATTAACCGACTGACTTACCAATTAACAGTCAGTCAAACAACCAACTTACCAATACGAATCAACTAACCAGTCAAACGAATGACTTACCAACTAACAGTCAACCAACCAACTAACCAGTCAACCAACCACTCACTAACCAGTCAACTAACCAACCAAGCAAACAAACCTGTCAACCAACTAACCAGTCAAGCAAACAACTCACTAACCAGTCAATTAACTAACCTCTCAACCTATCGACTAACCAGTCAACCAACTAACTATAACCAATTAACTAGTCAACAAAACCAATCAACCAACTAACCTTTCAACCTATCAACTAACTAACCAGTCAACTAACCAACCAAACCATTCAACCAACTAAACTGTCAATCTGTTGAATAAACAGTCAACTAACCATTATTAACCATCAAATGAACAAACCTGTAAACCAAACTAACAATCTACCCAACCTATCACTCAACGAAACAAATATGTCAAACAATTCATAAATTGTATTAAATGTAAAATTGTTTGGTATTTAAATTGACAGAATCACATTGCAGGAGGTGTCTCCTTGGATAAGCTTGCATCGCAAAAATTGAAATTCTCAGAATTTAATGCACAGATGATGGTAAGAAAGACATTTTCCAATTTTAATTCAACAAAAATTTAGCCTCTGCACTGAAATGTCAATTTGTTTTGCATCTTCACTTGCTCTAGTTTTTCATACCATTAAAAAGATTATTTTTAAAAAGATTTTACACACATACCAGTATATACTTTGTGGAGGTGGTTTGGCGCAGTGGAAATGGTTTGGTTTTCCACCTCTAGGTCATGGTTTCAATCCTGTGCTGTGCATTTCACTTGTGTCCTTGAGCAAACCACTTTTCTACATTGCTTTAATCCCATCTTTTTAAATGGGTACCAGCGTCCCACCCAGGAGGTACATCACACTCTCATTTGCTTCACTCAGGGGTGGCGCCAGGATTTGCCTGACTGGGGCGGGGGGGTGGCCGGGTTCCCCGCCGAGGGGGCCGATTCCTCCGACGAGGGGTCAGATTTCCCTGACAAAGGCAATGTGGGCGTGGTCGAACTTCGATTAAAAGGTTTTGAAAGTGGTCCAGGGGGGGCGAAGGCCCCCGAAAATGTTAGCAATTTAGGGGTTTCAAAGGCTTATTTAAATGATTTTAGAGTCTACTAATATGTAAAAAATACATATAATTTTTTTCCTCCCCGATAAATTGTGCTTTTTCTCCCCGACGGGGGTGGGGGGTGCAGCACTCCCCCCACGGGGGGATGTTTGCGCCCCTGGCCCCCCCGCTGGCACCACCCCTGTTAACATTACTTAAAACTGGGGATAAGGTCCAGCTCCCAACCACTCACTAACCAGTCAACTAACCAACCAAGCAAACAAACCTGTCAACCAACTAACCAGTCAAGCAAACAACTCACTAACCAGTCAATTAACTAACCTCTCAACCTATCGACTAACCAGTCAACCAACTAACTATAACCAATTAACTAGTCAACAAAACCAATCAACCAACTAACCTGTCAACCTATCAACTAACTAACCAGTCAACTAACCAACCAAACCATTCAACCAACTAAACTGTCAATCTGTTGAATAAACAGTCAACTAACCATTATTAACCATCAAATGAACAAACCTGTAAACCAAACTAACAATCTACCCAACCTATCACTCAACGAAACAAATATGTCAAACAATTCATAAATTGTATTAAATGTAAAATTGTTTGGTATTTAAATTGACAGAATCACATTGCAGGAGGTGTCTCCTTGGATAAGCTTACATCGCAAAAATTGAAATTCTCAGAATTTAATGCACAGATGATGGTAAGAAAGACATTTTCCAATTTTAATTCAACAAAAATTTAGCCTCTGCACTGAAATGTCAATTTGTTTTTGCATCTTCACTTGCTATAGTTTTTCATACCATTAAAAAGATTATTTTTAAAAAGATTTTACACACATACCGGTATATACTTTGTGGAGGTGGTTTGGCGCAGTGGAAATGGTTTGGTTTCCCACCTCTAAGTCAGGGTTTCAATCCTGTGCTGTGTATTTCACTTGTGTCCTTGAGCAAACCACTTTTCTACATTGCTTTAATCCCAGCTTTAAATGTGTACCAGCGTCCCACCCAGGGGGTACATCACACACTCATCTGCTTCACTCAGGGGTGGCACCAGGATTTGCCTGACTGTGGGGGGGGGAGGCCGAGTTCCCCGCCGAGGGGGCCGATTCCTCCGACGAGGGGTCAGATTTCCCTGACAAAGGCAATGTGGGTGTGGTCGAACTTCGATTAAAAGGTTTTGAAAGTGGTCCAGGGGGGGCGAAGGCCCCCGAAAATGTTAGCAATTTAGGGGTTTCAAAGGCTTATTTAAATGATTTTAGAGTCTACTAATATGTAAAAAATACATATAATTTTTTTCCTCCCCGATAAATTGTGCTTTTTCTCCCCGACGGGGGTGGGGGGTGCAGCACTCCCCCCACGGGGGGATGTTTGCGCCCCTGGCCCCCCCGCTGGCACCACCCCTGTTAACATTACTTAAAACTGGGGATAAGGTCCAGCTCTGTGAGCCCTGTGGCTCGGCAAGGATTTACTTTATAGGTTGTAATGCAAATTCATAACCATATTTTGTGACTGACCAGTTGGGAATATTGGATGAAGTACTCCCCCCCCCCAACCCAGCGGCTGTCAAATATGAGACCAAAATAATTATGGTGGTGGCATGCACAACCAACCCCAAAATCTTTGAAATCTATGTTATTTTAATAGGAAAGTCTTGAACTGATGGCTTTGACTGACACCTCATCTCTGACTACCAAAGTGTTTGACAGAGACACAAGTGATGTTGGGAAGTTTCTAAACAGAATCCTCGGCTTAGCTGTTGATAGGCAGAACCTGATATTCAGCTACTTTACAGAGTGTTTGCAAGCTGTAATATCTGCAGCTAAGAAGGAAGGGAGGTACAGTAGTTACATTATTGTAAATTGCAGGCTCTATTCATTGACTTTTTATTATTAATACAAGAAGTGTAAATTCCATTCTTACTGATTAAAATAACACTATAAATAATTCACTACTAATGTTAGCTACACAGAAAAAAATGAATAAAAAACATTATTAAAATCAGAAATAATAATAATAATAATAATAATAATAACTGTTGAACTAAATACACTGATAACATTTGGTGCTGGAATCATTTCGCCAAGATTATTTTTATGATCAGAGACCTACATTTTTTCAATATTAGTTTTGTGTATGGCAGTATGACAAGTATTTATATCAAGTAAATATCTAAATATCAAAATAAATAATCAAAATATTAAGAAAAATAAATAATATATATTAATATAGAGACGGCAGGTTGTAAACTGGCAACTTGGAATTATTTTTGATAGGTATAATGAAGGTCTTGTTGATATCATAGCTCCATCCATTCAGATAGTAGGGGAGCCTAAAGTGGTTTTCACCGCTGCACAATCTAGCATCAAAACAACGTGAGTATACTTATCACAGGGGTGGGCATAAAAAGGGGTTAGAGAGCCAAACTCAATTTTACATTTAAACACTGAGGGCGCAAGCAAAACTATGGTGCACTGTGCATGTAAAAAAAAATTTGTACTGCTTTTATACACCTTTATGCTCAGTTTTAATGTTAATTTTTTAGACTGTAACAGCTAGGGTTTTTCTAGCCAAAGATCGTAGGCTGGCTGCACCTATAGGGTTTTATAATTAATTTTTTTCAAACAAACAAAATTGGTGTCGTGGCCTGTGGCAGCACTTTGCCCAACGCATGCACATGTTTGTGTATGTTTTTAGTGTCGTTTTGTGAGACTTTAGCAACAATATCCAAGTGGTGGGGCTTAGCGGAAAGGTTCATTGAGTGTAAGTTGGCAATCCTTTATGGCTGAATGTACTAAAAAAGGTAGTTTCCTTATGACTAAATTTTTGTATTTGAAACCACATTGGATGTAAACAGAAATTGTGAATCGTATGACTAAGTGAAGTATTGGGACTCGTCCACTACTGAAGGTAGAAAAATATTGAAAATGCTTTATAGCTGAATTTGATTAAAAATTAGGATTTCTCTGCAACTTATGTAAGCGTAGTCGGGAATTGTTTTTAAAGGAATTTTTTTGCCGTCTTTTGCAGTTGAATTCAAATTGTGTTTTCTCATTCAAGTATGTTTTTAAATGTTTATTATCTACTTCTTTTTTTTTTGATCAGGCATGTTATACTAAAGGTTGATCGTGGATTGAGTTGGGAAAAAGCATTGGAACGCTTTGGAAATCATAGTGGAAAGCATGACGGATTCTACTGCTCCCGTCGCAAGAATCATCACGGCCAGTTTATGTACTTATTAGCAACACAGAAACTCAATTCCACACATCTGTTTAAGATTGCAAGGTAAGACAGGAGTGTGTAGCAAGTTCTGGCCACCATATAGTAGAACAATTGTTAGACCTGCCATATAATATAACCTCCATGATATAACTGTTATCTGAGTAACTAATTGTTAACAGAGTAATTAGCATAAGAATGTGACATTATTTTATACTTTAGTACAGAGAAACCATAAAAAATAACTTTGGCAATTATTAATTCGATTCCAGTAAAATGATCCATCATTTTAAAGCTTATGTGGGGAATAAGAATACTTTTCATTTTTTTTCACTGATGATGGTTTTGGGATGGCCAGCCTCGTAATAAGATAATAATAACTGTCATATATGTACTAAAATAATTTATATATAACTGTTTTATGTGTATTAAGATAATTTTTATTAACTGCCATAATGTACTAAGGTTATTGATATAACTTTCATATATCTTCTAAGACAACTTAAAAACTATACTGGATCTATATTGGTATTTATTAGTTTATTTGTACAAACTTATGCTTTACTTGCCTGACTCTCATTTTTCCTGTATTTCATATTATGTTTGTCTAATTTTTTTTTTCTTTTTTATGTTTTTTTTGTTTATGTCTGAATAGAACCACATGAAAAATCCAATTAATAATGTGAAACAAATATTTGTGTATGAATGTTTTAATAGACCTAATACTGGAGTTTCGGGATTTGATGAAGAAAAGGCTGAACTGTTTTCAAAATATTACAAGGTTTCCACAAACACTGCACGTAAGTTGTAGCAACCAATCATCTCTTAGCATTAAAACCATGTGCCAAATGTTTTTGGAGCAGGGGATTTGACCAGTGGATGTTCGATGTCCCCAAAGGGGCCACTGTCCCCCGACGAGAGCAAAGTGGGTGTAGTCGAGTGTTGCTCAACATTTTTTGAAAACAGTCCAGGGTTAAAGACCCAAAAAATATGAAAATTTAGGGGTTTCAAGGCTTATTTAATCAATTTTAGAATATTATATGTTGAAAATACTTTAAAAATAATTTTTGTTCCCGAACAAATTGTCATATTTGTTCCTGAGGGTGGGGGTAAGCTCTCCTAGGTCCCCCACTGGCACCACCCCTGTTATAGAGTTGAACTGTATCTTGGTGGTTAAGATGCTTGCCTTCCAATTCCATGACCTTATTACCCTAAACTGCATATGCTTGAGTATAATGTGTTAATTTTTTTCCTTTAGAAACTGGCTGGCAACAGTTATATGAAAGTGCAAAGGATCATTGTGTGCATGGGCCTCGCTGCAAACATGGTGATTCTTGCATGGGTGAGATAATGCTTTTGTGATTACTTCCATTGTCATTTTAAGCTCTGTGAAAAATTTTAAAGAAAGTGGACTACAATAGTGTTGTTATCAATTACTAGTTTTTTCAATGTAAAAATGTTTGTTTCCATTTATATGATGTTACAATAATTTCCTCAGTGATGGGGAAAATTTGTACTTTGTGATAGAAGTCTTCCCTCCAATTAAAGACCACTTTGGTCTCTAATTAGAATAAGATATCTAAAAGACATTTGTTAATTTGGAACCACAGAAAAGTGGTGTTTAATTGGAGATGTATTTCTCAATTATTTTATCAGAAGAAGTGGTTTGGCGCAGCAGGAACGGTTTGGTTTCCCAACCTTGAGGTCAAGGTTTCAATCCCTCGCTGTGTATTTCACTTGTGTCCTTGAGCAAGGCACTTTATCTTCATTGCTTCCTTTCACCCTGGAGTATAAGTTGGTACCTGAGGAGGTTCGAGTGCAAAATTGTGCTGATATATTTTCATGCGGCAAACTATGGAATTTTATCCATAGGTGTCGTTCCAATGACTGGGGTAATAATGTGGTAAAGTGCTCTGAGACTTAGTAGTGTAGAGCACTATATAAAAACCTACATATTATTTTTATTGTTGTTATTATTTATGACATTGTTTGCAATCTGTTCGGTTTGTATTCCTTTATAGTTGGTTCACGTTGTTACAGAATGGATTTATTATGTGGTGGCATATTGACACTGATGTCAACATTAGAGAACACAGTTGCTACACATGCGGACAGACTGCAGCTAAGGTCGGTTCTACTTACATTATATCATTCTTATACTCATTGATGTTATTGAGGCATGCCATTCCAAAACCAGTGTACAGTACTGTCGCAATATACTGAACTGTTTAATTTATTTTTGATATGTAAACATTTTATTTGTGATTAGATAGGCATAATACCATCAATTTTAACTTATTTCATATATTATATATTTTTATGCATTAAGAAAGAACATAAATAAACTTATTGTTATTTTTCGGAGTCTCCTCGATGCCTCTGCGTTAAATTTTGGATAAAAGCAATTTAAAAATTTTTTAAACATTTATTGTTATTATCCAAAAAACTGTAGGTTATAAATTTTTAATACTCTTGTAGACAAATTAGCATTAGATTAAAATTTACTGTAATTTTATATTTATCAAAAGGCTCATATCATAATTGAGGATATACTTTATAATAATTTTTATAATTGTACGCTTGATGTTTAGTTGGATGTACTGTGTTTTGGTTTTGTTGCAGTAAAGCGCAGTGTAATCTACGTGTAGTACGTGTCCAGCTTGATAATGGAAAGAAGCTTGTAGGATTGCGATACCCAGCACAGTTAGTGGATGTTGCACAAACTGCCATCTCTGAACAAAAGCAATTTGAACAGTTACAACTGGTATGTAGGGATGCCTACATAAATTGTTAACATTGTTTGATATGCCTCATTGATTCCAGGTTTTATGTAGTTTTGTTTTCATTCATTTGACCAAGGTCTTATCTGTTACCAGGATAGGAAGCTGGCTGGTTTAAGCCGTCTAACTTGAATTAGCCTTATGTGTGGTATTGTTATGCTAATGAGCCAGATAAACACAATCTGCACATGCTCAGAAAAACAAAACTTTCCTTAGCCACACTGCGTATCGGCTAGGCGTACAGCTAGGCCTAGCCGAGAATTACGGTACGGTAAAACAAAGTGAAATGAGGGTACTAATTTGCATGCATTGGCATGCAAATCAATCATACTTGCACACTTGAAAACAAATTAATCTACCAAAAAATCACCTGCTAGTTAAGATATAAGGCAAGTATGTTCACAAATTTGATTTTAAAGTGATGTGATTTTGTTTTGTAGTATTACAATGAACATCACATAGGCTAGCCGGGCCTAGGCTATGTCTAACTGCTTATAAAAATGCAGAAAAAAGACCCAAAACAAATTAGAATAAAGTTATGAACTAACTAGAACATTAAAATTATTCATATGCTTACTACTTACCTATATAAAATTAAAATGTATTGCTCACAAACACCAATTTTTGATTTGAATACGCCTTTTCCACGAATCGGTAGACATCTTGAAGTGATGACAAACAAAGTAAGTCAGTGGTGCATAACCAACGAAAATAAGATAAGCTTTGAGGCTAAATTCTTGACCTCATGTTATTTAAAAATTCATAACTCCATAACGGAGGGTCGTATCACATTAATTTTTCCTGGAAAAAAAAAAATGAAAGAAAGACAATAAAAAGTTTTAAAAAATCATAATTTCCTCTCTGAATGTTTTATATAGACATATGATGGAGACGGTTTGTTGCAGTGGAAATGTTTCAATCCTTCACTGCATTTCACTTGTGTCCTTTAAGCATGGCACGTTGCCTTAGTCTACCCAGCTGTAAATGGGTACCAGCAGATTTCTGGGAGTAACCTGCGGTGGACCAGCATCCCACCCAGGGGGAGCATCATGCTCTTATCCACGTCACGCTACTTGAAACTGGGATAAGCTCCAGTTCTATGAGCGCCGTGGCTCGGCAAGGATTTACTTTTTTTTTATATATATATAGACATATGGATTTATAACAACAAATTAGGATTAATAAGAATGAGAAAAATTGGAAAATCCTGCAAAAACTCTGGTGGCAATAATGATAACAATAATAAAATATTTAATATTAATAAATACTTCTAGTGTTTAAATTTGTAAATGAAATTATTTATTTTTGTTGTAGATGTGTAATAGCGAACAGACTTGCAGTGTAGTACCAAAGGCAGTCAAAACAGCACCATTAATTTCTATAGAGGAACCCATATCTGCTGTTGATAAGAAGTGTTTGAACAAAGCAATGACTCCACCTCTGACTATCAAAAACTTCTTCAAGCCTGTTGCTGAAACACCAAAGAAAAATGGTACATTAAGGGAAGTAAACGAGCTGAAAACACAATGCAAAGACACGGTGATGCTTGATGCTAAATGTGTACTTAATTTGTGTAGTCCATCCAGTGTTGAGAAGCAGATGAATAAACGTTCTTTACCTGTTGAAACAGGAATAAAAATGCAGCCGACGAAGAAAACAAAGCAAATGAGTCTGAAGGGAACGTTGACAAAACAAACTGAGAAAAAGATAACATGTCCAATTTGTGCCAAAAGTTTTGAAGTGACAACAAGCAATGTTGATATCAATAAACACATTGATAGTTGTCTACAAGGAGCTTAATACAGCTGTTGTTAATAATAACTACCATCTTTTATTTTATTCAGATAGGGTCATCTTATGTAAGACAACTTATTACCTATCGTAAGGCTATACTATTTTTATACCTTGTTTTGCGAACCGGCTCTCCATTGAAAATTATGATTTTGAATAAAATATGGTGCACCCACCACTGTGACACAATGGAAATATCTGGGGAAAAAAGTTTTTTTAATTTATTTTTATTTTGCCCATCACCACCTTGGAATCTCCCTAAATATAAAATTTATATTTCTTCAATTCAATTCATTTGATTTTGTTGGTCCAACTTATTTTTGCCTTGCTTTTTACTTGCAGATTACTTTAAATATGTTAAAAAAGGATACAATATACACATTGTACAGATAAGATGAAAAATGGGTTAAAACAGACAGTTAAAATTGCACAAAGTACAGTATAAAATTTGGAAGTAAAACATCACAAGCATTGAAATTTCAAATAGAAATAAGAATACAGTAATACTAAAATAATTAATTTTATAAATTTAAACATTTATAAATCCGTACTACACTGCTTACATTGTAGCTTCGCATTGTTTTTAGATCATGGAATAGGATACCAAGCTAAAGCAAAAGAGTGCCCTTGGTAATTTTTTTTACCTTGCACACTCATTTTTTATTTGTTAATTAAATTCTATTTTCTTTACTTAAATGCTTTTTGCAAAAGCTTTTGCTAGTAACAAAACAAAATTGTATATCATTTTTTTTCCACACTACTTTGACTATCTTTAAAAATTTAATTTTGCCTAAACAATTTATGAAGAAAGTTTAGCTGAAGCCGTCAAATAATTGCCTTTCTTGATGAATAACCACCACACCAAATACAATATCTTGATAAGTGCTGCTCCTAAATATGTACCTTGGTGAGGTCTTTTTTGAAAACCCAAAACTTAATAAGCCAGTTTGAAGGTCAATTGATATAAACAAACATACAACACAACGTAGGTTTATGTTGATTGACTTTGGATATGGGAATGCGCATTTCGAACTGCAAATTGGCATTGAAAATACATATTTTTCAGCATTCCTTGAGGTTATCAGTTATCTGATTTCTCACAGAATGACTAAAGTTGGAAACAGTAGCGTATCTAGGGGGTACATGGGTGAGGGGCACACGGCTCCCATGAATACTTGCACACTACTCCCCCCCCCCGTTGCACGCCCCCAAATAATCACTCTCAAGTAGTTAAAAATCACCTGAAATCACCATATTTTGCGAGCTAGTTCCCCCTCACCTAATCATCGAGCCCTCCACTTAACCTTTGCGGTCCTATCAGCACCTGTCTCTTATACACATCTAGATGTGTATAAGCAAACTCCTAGATACGCCACTGGTAGGAACAAGTCAGATCGTCCTCTGGAATAAAGATTGCTGAGGAGAACTCACAGTGCATAATATGGTTTCTGTATGCCACAATGTTGTAAGGCCTGCAGTGCTTACTTGATCATGTACATTTTACAGTATGCTCAATGGACAATGCGAGGTGTCATGACAAAATAAGTTGTGTTAGGCAGGAGGTGGGGGTATGAGAGATTGTGGAAGTTGAAAGTCTATTATATTGCATGCATTTAACATTAGGTTTTTGTGGCTCAAAACTTGTTCAGAGAGGCAGTTTTCTCCAAAGTATGTTTTTTAGACATCTGAATTCCAAAATGATCAGTCCTTTGTAATTGTAACTTCTGAACTTTATTCAATGATCAAAATAAATCTAATAATATACTCTATCTGAATATAAACATTAAACTCATTATTTTCGTATCTGATATCAAAAGGCTTATACAATGCAACATACAACGCTAAACCTCTGGTAGGTAATGCATGTAAGGATATCACCGATTTTAAGAGTAGAATGCCTTGGTAATTCAGTGATAAGACGTTCTGTATATGAGAGTATTTTTGAATAAAAATAAAATTGTCCATGCAAATAGTTCATTTGGATTTGGAATCAATGCACAAAACTCACCGTACATCACTCTAAACGACTGGTGAAGGAGACTGGTAGGCCTGATGTGGCCCTCTATTAGCTTTGAGTAAAAAATTGCTTATGGCAATTTAGACAAGCATATTTCTTGTTCAAGTTATCATACCTACAACCTCTAGTATAGTAACTGAAAAAAAAATCTTTGAAAGAATATGTCACTGTCAACATCTTCCTTAATATTAGACAAGATTTTGAATGTCTATCACGTCACCTCGGTGGCGCCTTTTTTTTAATGTAGTCAGCCTAAAACCACCGAGCCTATCTTCATTTCTTCTTTTTTTTAAATTTTCGGCGGGAACGGTTGGAGCATAGAGAAAGTTCTATTTTCTCTATGGTTGGAGTGACGTGGTTCCTGCAATTTTTGGAATCAGCATACTCAAAAAACCCCCCTAGGACAAAGTTTTCATGCTTCTTTCCAGAGTACACATCTTGACCAAAAAATATCACATATCCGCCCCACCACTACACTTTTTAAAGTCATTGCGTTTCATTTGAAAGAATTATAACGAATCTGGTAGTAAAATGTTTCAACATGCGTCAAACAGTTATTATTAAATGACCACAATTCAATGTTTCATTTTAATATTTTGTTGGTTTTTTTTTTTTTTGGGGTTTTTTTTTAAAGATTTTACCTCATATTTTCAATTCCTGATAAATTTAATAATTCCAAATAAAAAAAAATACCTGTTTCGTGTGACCACCCCACCTGAATGTTGAAAAAAAAAACTAGATGTGGGACCTTTTTTGGGGGGGGGGGGAAATGAATATTGTTATCCAGGAATTGCTGATCAAAATCAATAAAAGGCCTATTTTAAATGAATTAAAATAATTTCAACAACTAGTCTAATATTTATCATAGGCCTATTGAGGAAAATGATTAATTTTGAACGCACTAACATTAAACACTTGTTTTCTGAATAGAAAGAAAATATTTAAGTTTTGGAACCGTAATTTTTTTTTATTGGATTGGATTTATTCGGTGTAACCAAGGATAGCTTATGAAAGTCTGGAAGACTTTTGTCTCTAACGGTAAACGTCCAACGGCTTAAACGTCTCATCCGAAAGACGGTGCACTATTGTAACTTGTTTATCAGCCCTCCAGCTGAAACACCAGGAGAGGCAACAATGGGAATTGAACCGGGGACCTAGAGATCTCCATGGTTCAGCGCACACGCAGTGGCTACCATCAGATTAGCCGCCGACGGAGCTAAGCTGCTCAGATATACCATGGAGGAAGAAAATTTTCCTTCTCCATGGATATACTTTGTTCATGGTTGTTGAAAGGTAGAAATATAAGATCATGCTCAGTGGGAATGTGTTTGTAGCCTGTACAATCCTAGCTGTGCCAAGCATGACACTGCTAAAATAGCATCTAATCAAAACACAAATGCGTACATTGACTGATACTGTCATTTGTCCTAATCTATGATTTTCACCTATGCACATGAGAATAGTAAAGTCAATAAAATACACACGTTACTGTATTGCATTATTTGGGCATGTAAAATAAAAATAAAAATTGGTTAGCATCCTTATGTTATCAATTTTCATGTTAGGGAGGGAGGTTTTTTTTGTTTGTTTTTTGTTCACGCCTACTAGGTCGTGTTTTTAATTTTTTTTTTTTTCGTTTTCTTTGTTTGTCTTGCACGAATAATGCCAGTAAATTTTGAGTCTGATTTCATTAGTAGACTACAACTGTTATCACCATTTGGGTTCATAATATAGTCACTTCCGCGGTGTTTAATATCATCATGCGTTTTGTTGGCTATCGTACAGTTTAATATCGTATCCTTCAACTTGCGTTCAAAATATCTCAGGTCATCCTGAAATCTAGGACCATAATCTCTCACTCTTTCCCAGAATGTTTTGTTGAAATGAGCATAAAGTAAAGCATCTGCCCAACACCACCTATTGATAGATTCACGTGCATTATTTGAAATTGTATAACGTCGCTTATCACTTCGAATTCCCTTTGGTATGTACAATATATCCTCAAATGAAAGACAGAGTAGTTTTTTCAGCAATAATAAGGATTCATTATAATATTCGTTAATCAAAACCAAGTCGAAATCTCTGGAAATACGCTGAATAAATAAGTTTACAAGCGTTTTATTCTTCTGTTGATTAGGTTGGAGACCAAGATCATATAAATTTGGATTTCGTAGATAATTGGCGAAGCTGGAAGAACATTTATTATAGTAGTAATAAGGATTGGATACAAATTTAGCGAAACCATCAGCTTCTCTGAGATTCATACTCTTAAACAGCAAAAAATACCCCAAAACGGATTCAAGTTGCGTCCTTGGATCTCGTAAAATGGTGATATACTTGGCTCCTGGCTTCATCACTTTCTGCATTTCAGGTTTGTTGAATCTCACATGATTTACCAGCATATCAAACTTGCCTGAACCAACCTGTGCTTTCATAAAGTAACCACGACTAATAACATGAGATTTTTCTGGAACAGCAAAGGTGAGATTTCTGAGGTATCCGTAGCGTTGAAGTATGGATGTAAGCGTGGAGCTTCCTGTTTTATGCGTTTTTAAGAACACAATCGTCTTCTCTGGTATGCAAGGAGCTGCAGTCGAAATCGGCATTGCATTCACTTGGGCAGCAATCACCACACTTCTTTCTCCGTCTTGTCTGTATTTAATATAAAAATAATTTTCAATTAATGTTTACATTTTATTAATTTTGATGCAGAGTATAGTAAAATAATATAGAGCTGTATTTACACTACTATTTTCTGTTTGACAATTAAAATTTGATATTCCCATAATATTTAGGTGTCATATAATCATAACCAATATACGGGCGTGATTGTGATGTCCATATTGCATGATATTGGCACATCACAACGATTTGTCAAATAAAATTTGATAGTGTGGTCACTGTTTGGGCCTAAACAGCGGCGTCGCTAAGTTCGAAAGGGCCCCAGTGCAAGCTTAAGCGCCGGGCCCTTAGATGTGGTAGGAAGATTCCCTAAAGTTCTCAGAAAATTTGTCGTAAGAATTGCTAGTATTTTACCCCTTCTCCTGTTTTAACCCCTACTCCTAAAGGCCTATAGGTTGGTAATAAATACTAATGATAGCCTAATTAAATTCGGGACTATTTTATGATATATATATA